AGCTTATTTGTCCGAGAAACTTGCAAACATTGAAGTTGAGATGAGGAGAATAAAAATAGACATCTCAGGAATGAGTGAAATAAGATGGCCTGGTTCAGGAAAACAAAAACAAAAGACGGATACAGCTATTTTTCAGGAGAAACCAACCCATAACATTAATTTGGAACGGCTATATCAGTATCGGACAGAATTGCGCAGTCTATAAAGAATGGCATAATCTATGACAAATATTTGGGAATGTCGCTCGAAGAGTACAGCAGAGAAATTTGAAGGAAGCATGTCATGGCTCAAGAGCATCTGCGATTCCACAGAAATACGTAATTCTAAACAACTAATACTATTCCGATTAGCTGAAGACCGTGAATAACTCGTCAATGTAATTGCTGACGTTAGAGGGACCAAATATGGTACCGAAAGAAGAAGAGACACTCGACATTAGGCTTGGTTTTTCCTCATGTACCATGTCCTTTCAGAACGTTGGTTACCATCATAGGTATCTCAATTTTATTCACTGTCACTCTAATTGCATGCTTGTATCAACACCATACCAATCTCACAAGTTCTTCAACTATAAGGTTCTTCTTCATCCTGGACTGCGTTTACCTGCTATTTGTCCTTGCGTGATATTTTGTAGCAATCTGTATTTGGGACCTCTCATTAGATGTACGAAATACACTAGCTTTCTCTGTTTGATGCTTTTTATGATCTCAGTACTCCTGCTAAGACGTTCCAGTATTGTGGAGTTTCGAATCTTCTCCATCCAGGAAACTTTTTAAAATTCTTCTAAAGCACCACAATTTGGTAGCCTCAAGGCGCTTTAGATCGATTTTATTTACAGTCGAGAACTCGACACCATGAAGTAAGACCGAGAACACGTAGCAGCGAAGTAGACGGATCCTCAATGCCAAATTTAGGTCTCTGTTACATAATACCTTGAACATTTTTCTAAAAGCAGCTCTAGCCTGCTCTATCCTAGATCTAATTTCGCCGAGACTTTCTGCGTTGCAATTTAATTGCTATCCAAGGTAAACGATTTTATCAACTTGCTCAAGTTTGGTATTATTTGCATATATAGACGGTTTTATATGCTGTTGTGTACTTATTACGAGTATTTTGGTTTTCTGTATGTTCAGATCCAGACCTGCCTTCCTACAACGCTGAACGACACTACCAAGTGGTGTTTGCTGATCTGCTTGACGATAAGCTAGGAGTACTGTATTGTACGCATATTTTAAATTATTGATGTGCTTTTCTGAAAATTCTTTCGGAGTAAACGTTGAAAAGCAGCTGTGGCAAGAGTCCTCCCAGCCGTACTCCTCTTTTGATTATATTGTTTGATTCCATTTGCATTTGACTTTCAGGTGTAGAGTCTTCTCGGTGGTAGTTTAAAGTGAGTATTTGATATAATGAAATCGTGTTCTTGACAGAACTGAACTAGTCGATCTCCACGTTCGTTTCTGTTTCCCAAGCCATAATCCCCCACAATGTTCAAACAGTGTCCTTTGCCGACTTTAGCGTTAAAGTCTAAATTTAGGCTTCGTTGGAAATATAAAAAGATGTATTAGCTGCTATGAAGAAACCCCAAGTTGTCTACGCAGAAAAGTACAAAACCTTAATAATTTTCTTATAAATTACAATGAATGTATAATCATAAATAATAAGTGTATTATAATAAACTAACAATATCCTATATTATTAATAATAATAAGAAGTTATCATATGTTTCTTTTTAGTCATTTAGAATTAAAAAAAAAATTCAAATACATATAAAAGCTTAGACTGAAAACTAACATCAATGTTTGTATGTATAAAAGCCCATGTAATCTTTTATGTTATTAATAATATTAAGTAATAAGCTAATAACGCACACAAAAAATAAGCAACTAATAATCGACAATCGCTTGAGATCATTATCAATCCATTTGAAAAATTGCCCAGGTTTGTTGTTATTTCAGAAGTTGATTCTATAAATATTTCAGGCGACTTTCATTGAAATTAATCGTTTGAGCTACCAATGTATTAGGGATCGAAGCAGAAAGAACGAATGAGTCTTGCGTGCTATTGTTCTTATATTCTGGACTTCGACGGCTAATAAAAATTTGTAGGTTTTGTTACGCTTCGTTTGCCCTTTTCTAATAATGAACGAGATAATCTAAAACTAACGACTTTGGAGGAAGATAAAGAGGGTTTTCGGATAAGGATTCAGCACATAATTTGGCTTGTTTGGTATGGGGGAAAACAGAATATTAATAGTTGATATATTCTAAAAATACCTACTTGATGAAAATTCGTTTTGTCCATAAAATACAAAATATAACTTTTATCCACAATTTGACAAAAGTTTTAATATCTTACTCACAAATAAAATTCTAATTTTAGTTTTCATCATCACTATCATCATTAACATCATGCAACCTCTTCTGTGTACTGCTGGATATAGGTCTCTCCCATTTTTCGCCACTCTTGTGCTACTCACATTTTTAGTGCTGTTGTTTTCGTGAGCGTGAGAGTTTCTGCTCCGTATATCATAATAGGAAGAAAGCATTGGTCAAATGTCTTCCATTTCATAGCTATTGGGACGACTAGCATGTTTCTTAAAATGTAACCAATGAAAACGAATGATTAGAATGAATGACGTCACTGTCATTTTGGTGTACGCTGAATCATTCGTTTTCATTGGTTACATTTTAAGAAACATGCTAGACGCGTGCTACTTGCCACTTGCTACGTGCTACGCCACTTTGGTGGGCGCTCTCACTAAGTGAACCATACGCTGCCCAAGCAAGTCTTATTCGTCGCTGAAATTCGCAGGTCTGGTTGTCCTTGCCTATTCTGATTTCATGACCAAGATATATATGTACTTTTCTGTCAATTCTACCACTTGATTTTGGATGATTAGGTGTTCGCTGGGAACTAAATTTGTCATAAATTTAATCTTACTGATGTTCATTTTTAGAGCTATTGTTGAAGATGCGCTTTCTAATTCTTGTAGTATTTGTTGTGCTTTACTTAGATCTTCGGTAATAAGTACTATGTCATCGGCAAAACGCAGATGATTGAGCATTTCTCCATATATTTTTATTCCTCTATTTTCCTTCTAATTTCTAATTTAGGTAAGAGAGTAATATAATTTAGGTAAGAGAGAGAGGAATAAAGAAAGCTGAGCAACTATTTAGAATAGCTCAAGACAGAGACAGTTTCGCCATGTTAATCGCCAACGTCAAAGGGGACTTGATAGGGCACGTTAAGAAGAAGAAGAGAATATCAGAATCACAAGTATGAGGCATATAGAAGCCTTTGAGATGTGGTTTTTCGAAGGATGCTGAAGATCTCTTGGACATAGCATGTGACCAACAACGAGGTGCTAAGAAGAATGGCTACTGAGAGAGAACTTCTAAATATTGTATAAAACAACAAAACGGGTTATCTAGGACATATTTACAGAGGGGAAAATTACAACTTCCTACGACTTATAATGGAAGGGAACGTGGAAGGAAGAAGAGATCCAGGAAAAAGAAAATACTTATGGTTAAAGAATGTAAGAGACTGGACAGGTATGGAAACACATTTGATACTAAGAAGAGCTCAAGATCAGCTTAAGAACAAGAGAGAGAGTCGTCCTGTCTCACACCTGTCTTGATATGAATTTCTCTGGTGGTATCATGTAGATTTACATGCATTGTGGCGTTTTGGTATAATGTGTGTACTAACTATGTAAGCCGGTAATCTATTCTATTATTGTTCAAAGCAGTTATAATGCTGTCTAATTCCCATCGAGCAAAAAGACAAAAGAGGGAATGTAAAGGTAGTGGGGACAAAAATATTGTTAGACAGGAAGTGCCATCTTAAGAGGCCACTTTAAACAGGGAAAGACAGTCTCTTTCCTTATTTAAGAAATCAAATTTAGTTTGGTTATGTTATTATTTGTCCTAACTGTCACATGAAATTGTATTTATATTAAAGTTTTTACCAAGTGTGTCACATTTTAGACTATTATCGTTAATATTTAATTCAAACTTTCTCGTTTTTTGAACCAAATATGTCAATTCAATATATTTCAATTTGAAATTGAAAAATATTTTATAGCTATTCTTAGTAAGTGTCGGAAAATTTAAATTTAGCGCCTTTGCATTCCGGATCGCCTTCAGAGGCCACTTTTTTTGTCTCCTTTTGATAACGATTAGATTCCCTCTTTTGTCTTTTTGCTCGATGCTAATTCCACAGTGTCGACTTTGTGAAAGTCCACTAAGGTAAGTACCAATGGTCTTAAAAATTGTAATAAAGAATGTTTTCATTAGAACCTAATTTTCGTAAAAAACCTATTCCAGCTCGATCAGAAATAAAAACAAAATGCCAAGGACTAATTATTACAGAAGATAAAATGAAAATATATATGAAAATCTTTCTTGAAAATGTTGAACGAGGTTTGAAAAAATCAACACATTTCAATTCTACCGTAAAGTGCTTCCGGTTCCGAATCAGGAAAATATTTGTCTCTGGTTTTAGATGGTTGTAACTTGAGAATTTTTTTGTTAAAATGGATCAGAAAATATACAGTGTCTCTCAAGACATTAAGACAGGATCCGGTGAACGACTATTTGATTTTATTGCTGAGTGTTTAGCAGAATATTCCAAAGATAAAGGAGTTAATATTGATAACATTCCATTAGGATTTATCTTTAATTTTCCACTTGAACAAAAAGGGCTTAAGATAGGTATCTTAAAACTTTGGATCAATGGCTATTGCTGCGAGGGTGTCATTGGTAAAGATGTAGTCAAATTATTAAATAATGCTATTGCTAAAAGAGAAGATTTGAAAATCAATGTAGTTGCTGTTGCGAATAATACTACAGGAATCTTATGGTGTGTGCATTTCAAGATTTTGATGCAAAAATAGAAATTACCGTTGGTGTAAACACTAATAGTTGTTATGTGGAAAAACAAGTAAATGCAGAGCTTTTTGATGAACCGGATAGGGCTCAGGGAATGTGATTGTTTACATGGAATATGGAGATTTTGGTGATGACAGTGCATTAGAGTTCTGCAGAACGCAATTTGATAAAGATCTTGATGCTGGATATACAAATGTAGGTAGTCAACTACACAAAAAGATGCTATCAGTTATATACTTAGAAGAACTTGTAAGACCGGCTGCCGTAAAATTTGCCAAAGAAGAAATTCTATTTGGGGGTCAACTTTTCGATGATTTTAAAGTACATGACAAATTTGAAACTAGATTTATTTGTGAAATTGAAGCAGATCCACCTGGTGTGTTTACTAATGTGAAGAGTATTCTTAATGATTTGGGGGTAAGAAATGCCACTGAACAAGATTTTAATGATATTAAATACTTAAGTCAATGTTTCTCTAGAAGAGCTGCTATCCTGAATTCTTGTATGACTACAGTTCGGATACGTAAAATTGGTTATCCAAACATTACTGTTGGAGTCGATGAAACGCTGTACAAAACTCACCCTCACATTCATAGTATTTTGATCTCACAGCTGGAAGTATTTTTAAAACCGGATCCATACAAATTTAAAATTATGCTATCTGAAGAAGGTAGCAGTGTAATTGGTGCAGCTATAATGGCTGCTGTTGTAGATAAAAAAACAGAACTAGTATTTGAGCATATGCTCAAAGAACCACCTGTTTATTTTGTGCTACCTATTTCTGAAACAGAGGTGCAACTTATGGATATACCCAAAAAGTCAACTGAACCTTCAACATCCGCATCTATACCTGCTTCAGAAGTCTCATCTCTGCCTGTGCTCGAAGTACCAGCTCAACCGTCATCAATTTCTGCTCTTAATGCAGACACATCTTTAATCGAAATACTTGATACGAACATTGCAGGTCCATCCCAAGAACTGTTTGTAGAAGAACCAATTGAAAGTAAATCTAAAGTACAATTTGTAGATGTACCTGAGATCTCTATTGTAGGACAAATCACTGAAGATAACATAGAGGAGGAAGAAGATAATGTTGATAGTACAACACAAAGACGACGACGTAAAAAAAGACAAAAGACGTAAAAATTTTACATAATATGTGGAGCCTATACCACTAATTTTCGCATAAAGACTCGCGGATATTCCACTAAAAATATTACTAGTAATTTGCTAATTGTGAAGTGTTCTTATATATTAGGATTAAACAATCATTCTTGGAGTTTGAATAATTGAGAATTAAAAATGGAAGTAAATACCAATGGTCTGTTATATTCTAGCGACTTTTCTATTAAGGTTTTTATTGTTTGTAATATAACCGATAAGGTCATCGTTTATTCCGAATTTTGAGCGGAAGCCAGCTTGTTCTCGGGGCTGGTAGAAATCTAACTTTTTCTCTAGTCTTGTCGTAATTATTCGGGTAAACATTTTATAGTTGTGGTTTAATAAGCTGATTGGCCTATAATTTTCTAGGTGCGCCTTGTCTCCTTTTTTATGTAGAAAAATTGTTACTGCATTGTTCCATGTTTTTGGTATGCAACAATCTGTTAGAGAAAGGTTAAACAACATTTTTGTTTGGTTGTAAAGGGCACGTCCGCCCATCTTTATAGCTTCTATTACGACTCTATCTTCTCCTGGTGCTTTGTTATTTTTTATCTTTTTTTAGAAACTATTCATCTGGTATAGATTTTGTTGTAATAAAAATTCTAGTAGGGTTTGTAAACATTTGTTTTTGCCTTTGGATCAAAATTAACCTAGTGCTGTTTCCTGTTTATCCTGCTTTAGACCGATCTTTGAGTTAAAGTCGCCGCATATAATCGTGTAGTATGCTGGTATCGAAAACCCACACATACCAATCATTACTTGCATGCCAACTCTCATCATCCACCTTCACAAATTAATTCAGTCATTAATACCCTTATCTCCAGATCAATACGCCTTTCCGATGATGCAAGTAGACCCGCTGAGCTCTCTTGTTTAAAAAAAGCCCTAATCCAAAACGGTTACCGCCAAAATCACATCAATAGGAGCATTCACAGACATCAATCTCCAACTCAATCTTAGACCCAAAGACTCAGACCCTAATCATACGAAAGCTTTTCTTCCGTTTATCAAAGGTGTCACTGACAAAATCGACAGAATTCTAAAACCAAGAAGAATAGAAATAATATTTACTCCCCAACAAAAGCTTTCATTTCGTGTCCGATCAATCAAAGACAATATTCCAAATGAACAGCAAGGAGTTTATGAAATACCTTGTGCAGACTGTCCCCGATCATATATAGGCCAAACAAATCGTAGAATCCAAAATAGGATTTATAAACATTCCATTTCTCTTCGCAATTCTGATTTAATTTCAGCTCTCGGTCAACACCATCTTCATACAAGTCACAAAATTGATTTTGAAAACTCTAGAATCATAGCCCCCATCCGCTTCTATAAACCTTGAATCAAAATCCCACAGTCGGAAATGTTCGCGCCAACTCTCGCGCCAAACCCAGCGCCAACTCTCGCGCCAACTTCCACCCCAACACCCACCTAGGCCACGCCATCATCGACGGTATAAATGTTCCCAGCCATAGTAGTGACAGTGCAGTGATCATTGAACAGTGTAGTAGTGCCTGAGACCTCGGAAGCTCTGAGGAAGATATGAGAGAGGATGTCGAAAGCTCGGCAAAATAGATATCGACGCGGTTCAACCCCGAAGACGTGAGTTTAATATTAATTTCTGTAATAGTATTAATCTTAGCTTTAGCTTTATATATACATAAATACATAACATATGTGTGTGTGTGCACATATGTATGCATGTGTGCATATATGTATGTTTTTGATGATGATTATAACCTTGTCATAATTATTTCTAATACTATTTCATCTGTTATTCTTTTTCTTGTAGATGTCTCTGCCGATCTGCAGCATAGCCCATTTCACTCATAAAATCTTCTTCGTCTTTGTTTTAAGAGGTAAGAGGTATGACCACTTCCCTTTGTAAGTAGTCATACCTCTTTGTTTTGTTAGATTTTGTGATGGTTTGGTTACGCCTTTTAGCCGATTTGTTTCGTCCCCAGTCATGTTCCGTTCTATGATATTTTTTAGATCTAAATAGTTAAATTTTCTTCCATGTTCTATTCCTACATATTTTCTTCTTAATTCTTTCGCAATAGCTACCTTCATAGAGATTTAAAAGTGCCAACTCTTTAGGCATGGATTAGGAGGTACTTAATAAAGAAAGAAAGGCGACTACATTTCCACTACAATAAAAATACACTGCAGTTTCTTGATAATACAAGGCTAAGGAGAAGACTTACAAAAAGAAACTATTCAGATTGGTGCTTTAAGTGAGTGATACTGAAAAAAAAATATCAAACCATTTTCTTATTTTAAGAAAAACGTGGAAGGACCAATTGTAAATTCTTAGAAACTTACTTCATTTGTAAGATTTCTGTGCTATTTATTAATTGGTGGGGACAATAAAGTGTTCGACAGTCATTTAAAAATAAAAACAGACCTGTTTTTGAACATTTCTCGGTGTTGACCAGCTACGGAGATTTTAGGGCGTCCTAAAACTCTTGACAGCATGTGTAATATATGGGTTAGATATTTTAAATCTATTTTAGCATGTCAAACGTTCAAGTAACGTAAATTTACTGATATAACTAACTTCTTTAAAGAATTTCAGTAAAGCAGATAATTTAGCCCTTAACTGCTGTACAAGATATTTAATTGTACTTTGTGTAACACTCAATTATTTTAAAACTCTTAGATGTCTGTCTGTCTTCTCATTTCATCTTTAAACTGACTGAAAATTTCACAATTACCCTATGCTGACGAAAACTTAATCAGATTTTCGAGTTAATTAGGGCGAAATAAGGAAAGCGTATCAAGAATAAAACGAAATGGTCTGGCAGAATGTACTGAAATGAAAACGTTACACTTTTAGAAGAAGAGTATCGGTTATGTGGGTAGCAGCGTATTAGATTTGTCATAAAATATATCATGAAATAGAACTTGGATGAGAATTGTGTATAGTATGTAAAAATGCATAAAATGAACCAAATAAAGCACACTGGATATTAAAATATAAAGTATGAATTTTATTAAGAAATAATAACGAAATAAGGATCAAAAAGGCCAAATAATTTAAACTGAATATGGAAATCACACGTAATTGGTAAACTGATATTAAACAATTCATAGAAATGCCATATAAGTTACTAAGTATTAATCATAATTTTGAAAAAATAAAAAACATATTTAAACAAGTCCAATAGCTGAAGAGCAACGACACTCCTAAGTGCTATATCAAAATAATAAAATATAAAAGATCTAGTAGTATAAAAAAAGGGGTAGCAAACTGAAGAAAAACAAAGCGTAATAACGTCTGAATGTCAAGCCAAGTACCTATATAATATTTGACCAGAAGCTGACTTGAAATCCGCAGCTTCAAAAATATCACACAAAAGGCTGCAACTGAGTGTCAGGGGAACGAAGAAAACGCCTCAACGGACATATTAGAGGTTTGTTTAAACTTAGGAGGAATCATCTTTGCACATGACTATATAGTTCACGCTCCGATAAGTAAATTAATTAAGGTTAGATCAGAAGATAAAGGCGGATAACGTTTTAGAGATGTCATTAAACCTAAGGGTTTTGAGATATAAGTTGAACTGAAATTTTTAAATTACTGTACCAAACGAAGAAGAGTGGTAAAATTGTCCGCCGGTAATGACAAATTCGATTTGGGATACCGATGGCTCCAAAACTGACAGAGGTACAGGGGTTGGAATAAATGGCGTCGGGCCAAGAATGAAACTTCACAGGTCATTGCCAAGTGATATTGAACCATCACTGAGGCACACGTCCTTGGAGACTTAAATTCGATGAAGTCTTAAGCAGCAGGACCGGAAACTATTAGGGTCAAAGAGCTGTGCAAGGTACCATACCAGTTCGGAAATTAATTTTCGTCTATAATACTGTTACGATTAATTCTGACCCAAAACCGTAAACATATTTATAACTAATATTCTATTCATTCACGAATTTTTTAGGTCATATACTACCAAACCCTCCAGAAGGATTCGAATAAACACTTCAGGTAACAAGAATGCAGCCGGCGACCCGACCCTAGGAAAAAAACATGTTTATATTCTATACCAGACGAGAAGGCGATCGACTTTTCTAGTCTAGCGGTATTGGTATATAACGGGACCTTTTTGGAGAAAACAGGCAGTTAGAAAAGAAGCTCGCGATTGCGTTTTAATGTAACGCACGTATAGATAAATTATGTAATTAGTAAATTGCTGTACAGTGCTTTACTAAATTGATATAAAGTATCGTGTTTTAGTGAATTAAAATAAGAACAATAAATTAGAATTAATAAAGACATAACAATACCATGCTTGTATATTGTGTTACTCCGGAGGTGTTCAGTTCCTATACAACGACTTTGATACAGATGGGTGACGATTCGTTAAAAGTTGGTAACTGGCGCTTAATAACGATTTTCTTAATGTTTTTGCGAGTGATGTATTGCATTCTAGGCAAGCCTCTAGCATAGTTAAATTATCAGCTATCTAGAGGAGCTTAAGAAAGCTAACTGTTATGGTTACAGACAGTTCAAGTTATCAATATAAATTACAAGAAGAAGCCTTACTAACTAGTAGACGGTGTAAGACTCAAATCGGTACTTTGGTCTTAATTATTTTATTTTTAATATACTCCATAATTATGTTTTCTAATATAATATTTATCGAATATTTTTTACCCTAAGGGCTCGATTACTATACAAACATCTTTTAATTTACTGTAAATTTGTGGCTACGATAACCATCCAAAAATGCAACGTTAATAACCACTTACCGGCTAGTCGTCCGTATCGTTGGAACATCCTTTCAACATCCGTTTTTGAACATTGGAAGGTATTTAGATTGCCAACGAACACTCGAGAATTTACCGCTTGAGGATCTTGCGAGTTTGTTTGGTTTCCCACTTTACTCAACTTCATTTTAGCCGACTGCCTGAAAAGAACAAATTGTGTGGTTAATTACTGATCTTAACATCGTTTAAGCATGTTAAATAAACAATGTGTTTAATTTTAAAAATTATTTTTTAATTAGGAATATTAATAACAAGAAGTACATTTTATACCATGGACGTATAAACATAGATGGACACAGCAATAAGATACCTTTAACACACAATGTTTTGAAGCTTCCATAGAATGTGATGCTTCCGCAATGAGCATAAGCGTGCTTGAATTTTTATTCGCGGGTAATTATTCAGATTTTAAAAATTGGAAGTAGTAATAATGTATAAAAACACGTTTTAAAAAGGTACTAAACAGATCTTTTTTATTCAGATGATGTCTGCTTACAATTTAAAAATGTCTACTAATTTCATGAATTTATATCTTATTCAATACATTAATGAACATGAATAAACCCAATGGTACGCCTATTAAAATGTAAACAAACACGCTTCCTCATTTCCTCATCTTAAATAATGTAAATTGTAGGTACTTACAAATGAAATGAGAGATCGGGATGTAAATATTTCGTTTATTTTATTTCACTTTTCACAAATATCACTCAAAATACAGCCAAAATATCGAAAAACAACTTTTACTAAAAAGCAAACAAACATGGAACAGCATTTGAGTTTGACGTAGATCCATAAGACAGAGAAATGTAAACAACCGTTGCCATTTATAAATAGTTTTCAGTGCTTCTATATATAAAATAATTGATTGATATCTATTATACGCTATTATTAAATGATAATGCACACTATGTGCACACTTTATATTTTGATTACAATTGAATATTTTAATCTAACCAATAAATTATTATTTTGGTTTGATAGCACCTGTAGAGTATAAAATACAGACTAATATTTTCAGCGACTCGCGAATAAGAAATTTTAAAACAAAACGTGACAACAGTTGAAGGTGCTGAGAATGTGACTTATTCAAATAATTTTAACTTCACAATTTTATGTAAATAACTGAGTCCATCTGTGTTTATACGTCCATGTTTTATACAGTTAAGTATTACAAAACATATAAAAAATCAGTTAATGTGATAAATTTTTGACATTACTAAAACACACAGGGCGCATTAAAACTCTTCTTTTTGTCGTTTATGTAGTCATCTTATAGCCACCTGTTGTTAAATATTACTTCAATATGTTAGAATTCCAGAGCTTTCGTGATCATTCCACTGATCGTCTTTCACTTGGTAGGTGTTTTCTGTATTCTGTGTATATGGTTTTTCTTCTTTTTTTGTAGTTACTATTTTTGATCATCCATCGCGTATGAAAGCAAAACATAGACGATAACAAAAAGAGAAGTAAATAAATTGCTGGTATGGGAACGTAAAATTCTTCGAATGATATATGGCCTTGCAGAGACAGCGTTATTAACGAATGGAGGGCAGATACAATAACGAGCTAATCTCTATTCGGAAAAGAAAATCTAGTCACATATATAAAGGCCAATAGACTCAGATGTTCAGGACATGTGATACACAGTAACGACAATTGCCTTATAAATAATGTGTTCTGGGAAAGGCCAGATCGAAGAAGGTCTGTATGGCGGCCTAGAAAAAGGTGGAAAGATGTAGTCAAAGAAGATCTATAGGAAATAGGAGTGCGACAATGGGAATTACTGGCACAGGACCGACAAACATGAAAGGCAATAGTAAACGCGGCAAAGACTCACGATGAGTTGTAGCGCCATTGATAATGATGATGATGATCAACTTTGACCCTTGGCTGTCAACTGCCTGACTAGGCCCTGATTGGATGGTCAATCGATCTGTATTTTTCTCAATACATGCTCTATATTTAATTTCTTTTGAGACGTGTCTGGTCTTAAGAAGTCTCCTTGTCTTCTGTTCTGCACCACCTCCCTTAATGGAATATACTGAATCCTTCCTTAA